GTAATCAGGAAGGGTACCATGGAGGTGACACAGTGGGTGTTCTTACCCAAACACTAATCCTTCTAAAGCCCAAACTGACCATATGTCATCCCTGCTAAAACACTTTAAGGATCCCCATTACTCTGAGGACAAAGTGCAGACTCCTTAGCCTGGTACCAGAGACTGTACACCATCTGGCCCCTGAAGACCAAGCAGCATGTAGTGAAAATCACACAGATGGGGCATGATAGGGGTTTAGAAGGGGAAGGAGAGAGTCCCAGGAGGGAAGGAGCTCCATGCCCCAAAGCAGTCTTGCCGGGAAAATTCCTGGATGGGGAAGGAGGAGGAGGGTGGCATGTGGCACAGACCACAGGGCCATGCCAGGCCCCCTCCCCTTGCCATCACCTCTGTCCTTCAACCTTCCAAGTGAGCACAGCACTTGGAAATGAGTTTGACCCAGACAAGCACTAGCCTTGGGCTATGAGAACTGGCACAAATCCCAGCCCCAGCTCTGACATTGGTATACTCTTGGGAGTCTCTGAGCCTGAGTTTTCCCAACTGTAAAATGGGGTCAACCTCACAGGGCTATGAGAGCTTTAAGGAGGAAAAGTTTGGGAATTTCCTTTCATCAAACAGTTCCGGGGTTAGGGGTGGTTCCTCGCCACCTCCCCCATCCCACCAGAGCCTTGTGAAGCCGAGAAAGCACGTGGGCTTGCGGATCAGGAAGTCTTGGATGTGAATCCCAGCTTTGCTATTTACTCTCTGTCTCATCCTGGACAAGTCCCGTTACCTCCCTGCACCTCATTTACAAAGTGGGGTGATAATCACCCCTGGCAGGGATGCTCCTCACATGGACTGGGTGAGCTCCCACAGGCTAGGGCCTGCCTAGAGCAGAGCGCTTGTAAGCATTTGTTTCTGCCTTTCGCCCTGTGCATCTCTTAGGACAGATGTCCTCTCTGCCTTACAGACCAGCCACTCACGTCCTCTGTGCAATGGAGGGGCTGAGGCTGCCATCACCGCTACGGGTCTCAGAGGTGCCCATATCCATCCCTTCACAAACCATAAAGCTGCATCCATAATTTCTAATGGCAGCACAGCCTTGGTGACTGAAGAGGGTGGTGGGACGTACTACCTTTGGGGAAGCCCACCCTGGTCACATGGTTTGATAGCATCACTGACTCAATGGACATGAATCTGCACAAATTCTGGGGGAGATAGTGGAGAACAGAGGAGCCTGGCATGCTGCAGTGCAAAGAGTCGGACATGACCTAGCGACTGAAGAACAACAACAACCCTAGTCAAACTGGGATCTGTGGCTTGATCTGACCTCTCCCTCTGGGGTTTGGCCAAAGCGCCAAGGGAAAATCACTGGGATGGGAAATGGTGAAGGAAAGGTGACCCCGGTCCTGGAGCCACCCTGCCCACACATTGGCAGGAGAAGCAGGGCAGGCCATGAAGACAGGACTGGAGGGAGGCTAGGATGTGTGGGGAGGGGACGGGGGAAGTCAGTGCCTGGTACGAGACCCCCATACTCACCTGGAGCAGCAAAGATTAGTCCCAGGACACAGAGAGCTGCCAAGAAACATCCTCTCTGGCTACTCTAATGCTGGGTCTGGTTTTCTATCCAAGTCAAAGTGGACCAAGTTGCTTACGCAGGTTCCTTGGGCATGGCGGCTGGGGGCCATTGGGAAGGAGCTGTCACTCTGTGAGATGACCCAGAAGGAAGCGACTGCCCCTCTCAGCCCTCAGACTTGCCTTAACATCCTTTGGTGAACATTCCCATGTATGCGAAGGGCCCAAACTGGACTTGGTTTTATTGCCTCATCTCAAGCCCCCACACCACCCACCTACTTAATCTTCCACCTTCCAGGTGGCTCTGCTCATAGCCCTCCTTTGATCTGGTCCCAAGGATGAAGTCCAGGTGGGATTATAAGACCTCTCAAATCTGGTCCAGTCAATCTCTCCAGGCTTATCTCCTACTCCTCCCTGCCTGCATCTCCTTTCCAGCATCCTTCCTCCAGCCAGTCAGGATGCTCATGGTTCCCACCTCCAGGTCTCTGTCAAGGCTGTAGCTTCTGCCTGAAGACCTTCTCCTTCCTCTCTGCTAGGCAGAATTATCCTCCTCAACTCAGGTCCAGCATCAAATATCATCTCTCAACCTTCTTAATTATCATTCCCTCCTTTGACACAATCCCCACCCCACTCATAGCACTTCGTCTATGACTCTGTTGTACTCACTCCCTGGTCAGTCCACTGCTGACTGAGCCACAAACCTGAGCCAGGCCTGCACTGGGCGCAGAGTGATGATACTCCTGACGACCCTGGGAAAGCTCCTGGCTCAAGGAGATGGTGATAGCGCAGAAGAAAGGACTGAACACAGCACAGCCCCCCACATGTCCCTGCACCACAGCCTGGCCGTCTTGCTGCAACCATTGGTTTGGGGACATATCTCTGGGCTAGGGCTCCTTGAAGGCAAGGACTGTGTCTGATTACCTTCTGTGTCCCAGTGACAGCCAGGCCCAGGAAAGTGCATAGGAAAAAATGTGCTGAAGCAGATGAAGTTGGGATCTGAAGGAGCTTTCATCTTGATCCAAAGTCTTGCCATTTCAGTAAGCTTACTTTCATAACATAGTGGTGACACCATTTTACACGCTGTGATTTCATTTGATTCTCAAATACTCAAGGGCAGTCAGCCAGCTAAGAAATGCCACCTCCATTTCAGGATGTAGAAACTACCGGGGCTGGCAAGGTGACTTGCCCAAGGAATTGCTGCAAGTTGGTGGGACAAGAAAGGCCAGCATGCAGGCCTCCTTCCTCCCAGCCCATGCTCTGCACCTCAGACCATACTATGAGGGAGCTGGTTGGGCCATGTGTTCCAGCCCAACGCCTCCTCCACAGGAGACTTTTCTGGAGCACGCACAAGCCACACACTGACTTGGGGTACCTCCAGGCCAGTAGGAGTCTTGCCTCCAAGGGGACCCAAAACACCACTAGGGAGAGGATTGAAGGATTCATAGCACCTTCAGCATCCACCTTGCTGCACTGCTATTTCCCCAGAAATCCATCACATCTGATCCAACATCCCAGCCTTTGCTGACCCCTATGTCTCCCACAAACCTGAAAGCTGCTAGCATTCCCTCATCTCCCCCAAAGGCACCAAGCTCTTCTCAGCATCAGAGCCTCACCACCTGCTTGCTCTACCTGGGATGCTTTTCCTTCTATTCTTAGCCAACTCAAGCCTTAGGGTTCCATGACTTTTTTCTCAGGGTTTACTCCTGTAACCTTGAATAGGTTGAACAAATGGCAAGGTTTCTAGGTCCCATCAGTGGCATTTATCGCATGCTGTGCTGGCACTGTGACTTCTGACAAGAGATGGTAAAGACCTTAGCAGCAGAGACTCCCTCTCATCTTATGCCGAGAGCCCACACCTAGCTTCCTCAAGCTGACCCCAAGGAATCCGTCTTTTCACTGGCAGGCTTGTTGCCCTCACACCTGCTCTTACTATCCACGTCCAGTAAGTCGTTCCACCACATTCCAGTCGATCTCCCCTCCTTCTGCACTTCTCTCCAGACCAGGCCTTCCCTCCATCCTTCCACCACCATCCGAGCTCAGGAATGGTTCTCTCTCACCTGGGTCCCTCCTGCAGCTTCCTCACTGCCCTCCTGGCCTCCAGTCTCTCCCCACACTATGGCTGGGACTCTTAAAAACATGCAACCATTTGCATTTCCCCACTCAAAGCTATCCCCACCCTGATGTCCCAAGGGTGGCAGTCAAGAATCTTCCTAAGATCTAGCCCCAGCATCATTTCCTATAGCTGTCTGAGCTCCAGCATTCCAGGTACCTTAACCCTGCCCCAAACATGCTGCCTTTTCTAAGAGTTTAGGCCTTATCCTTACACCCTCTATCTACAAAACTACTCATCAAAGGACAACAAATATAATTTTGGAAAACTTTCTATGTGCCTCGTACTATACTCGGCTATTTTTTACCTTTTAAAATTTTACCTCATTTAGTTCTCAAAGCACCTCACAAAATAAGTGTTATTCTTCCTATTGTACAGATGTGGAAACTGAGGTTCAAGAAAGGGAGGGCCAGAACTGGCTCCGGGTCTATCTGATTCCATCTCTGTTGTGCAATAATCTCTCTGGGAAGTGCACCCAGCCTCCAGTCCCCAGCCTCCATCCCAAGGAAAGGACCTCTCTCCTCTGGATCTACAGCCAGAGATTTCTCTCGTGGCCTAGCACTGCTGCCGGCTTCTGTGTGTGATCGCCTGTTACCAACGAGAGCACCTCCCAGGGCAGGGCCAGGATTGACTGGTTTGGGTCCCCAGCACGCAGCAGTATACAGTATAGAAGTTTAGACGGAAAGGTAGAGGCAACTTAAGAGGTTTAGGAGCCCGGCCCTACCTAACTAACTCCGATCCAACCACTAATCAGAGGCGGGACCGTGGCATCTGTAGCCAAAGCGAAGCCCTGCGGAACGGAAAACACAAACCCCCGCCTGCCCCAGCCAGGCCCGCACGTGCCGGGCCTCCCGGCCCACCTTCCTGCTGCCGGGCTGCACCAACGCCGCGGGGGAGCGGTTAGGGGCGGGCATGGGAAGCAGCAGGAATAACCAGGCAGCCCCTCGCCAGGAGGACCCCGGGCCGCGGGCGGCGCAGCCATAAGTAGCAGGGTAACCCCTTACAGCCCTCCCACGCCCGGCCGAGCCGGGCGCTCCGCCACCCCCACGGAGCTGCGGCTGCAGTGGTTGGAACGGCCGGCCCCGCCCCTGCCGCGTCGGCCCCGCCCCCTTATGAGGTTACAAAGTGCCGCGCTCGGAGTCGCGGGCTCAGTGGCGGTGGCCGTGGCCAAGGCTCCGCTTTCCGCTGGAGCTCTGGCCCGTCTGGCCGCCCGCCCCTCCTCACCCCCGGCAGTAGCGACCCGCTCGGCGCGAAGCCCTGGCCCCGGCGGCCGGGGCATGGGCCAGGGGCGCGGGGTCAGGAGGCTTCCCGCGGGGCCCCGACCTGTACTGGCTTCGTCATGAAGACCCTCATAGCCGCCTACTCCGGGGTCCTGCGAGGTGAGCATCGGGCCCGGCTGCCCAGAGCGAGGGCCTTGACTAAGGAGCCGTGCTGCCCCCTGAGGCCTCTGGGAGCGGGACTAAGGGTCTGGGAGATGAACTGTCACAGCCCAGGGTCTGCTGGGCTTTGCCGTCTTCCTCCTGGGGCCATGCAGCTGCGAGAGGGCTTTCAGGAAAGGAGGTGATGAAGGGCTCCAAGATAGGCAGGAGTGTGTTGGTATAATGGGAGTTTGTTGCTGGAGGGCAGGCCGCTCTGGGGGCTGAGGTCCCAACCTCTTTCTTTTCTTTTGGGAAGGCTTGCAGCCCCCTCCCTGACCACCACCCCCATTCCCCCCTGCTCATCTGGATCTGGAATGAGTTTAGAATAATGGTCTGATCCAGGCCACCTGGCATGGTAGTCATGTGGGCGCATTCTCCACCTTAGCACTCATCAATTTTGGGGACCTCTGTTACATCACTTCTTTTCTTCCAGCCTGTGAGATAGGATGTTACCTGAGAACTCTCCAGCCCCCTGGCAGTTCCCTTCATCCCTCCTAACCTGGTGGATCCAGCTGTGAGGCACTGGATGGGGCAGCCCATCCAGACTGGGAACATGCCTGGCTGGGACAGTTGTGCCCACACTGTCCTCTGCCCCCTGCCCAGCCCAGGCTTGGGAGCCCACTCAACAGCGACTGAGAGCCTGGAATGCTTAGAAGATAGGACAAGAGGACTCTGGGTGCCCTTCAGTGTGATCTGCGCTGCTGTTCCACCAGGAAGAATTGAGGTCCTCTCTGAAATCAGGGGCAGAGTTGAGGTCAAACTCCACAGCTTTTCCCGCAAAAGGAAGAGCATCCCTTCCATGTCCTGCACCTCTCACCTATACTTGGAGAAACTGAGGTGGGAGGACACATGACCTGCCCAAGATTTCCCTAACAGGGCCTTGGCCAGTGGATTAAGTACAAATCCAGGAGACCCTGAGACATCCTCACAGCTGCCCTGGTCTGTCTTGCTTGAATCCTCCCTCCCTCCACCTAAAGTCTTTATTCAGTTAGTCTTTAGTAACTAACAATAGCCTACCCAACCCCTTCATTATAAAAATAAAACATACGAATTATTGGATTTCAAAAAATATGGAAAAACAGGAAGAAAATGAAAAGTTCCTGGTTAATTGACTATCCAAAGATAGCTTCCTAATAGCATTTCAGAATATTTCATTATAATTTTATTTGTACACATAATTTAGGTAAGATTGGGGGCATGATGTGGATATAGTTCTAAATCCTGTTTTCTCCCTCTTGATGTTAAATTGTGAGTATTTCCTTCTGTTACTCCTAATCACTTACAATATTCTAGTGGCTGCTGGGTAACCACCCTGAGCTGTACCACAGTTTAACTGTGTCCTAGGCATTGGCCTTTTTCCCTGTGTGGCTGTTGGTGTGGTTATCTGCCCCTCTTGGTCTGAGTGCCACTCACTGCCCTTGGAGAGGTACCTAGCTGCTGTTGCCATCTTGGGGACATGCAGCCTGAGCTATCTCATGCACCCGGCCCGATAGCCTCTGACAATCTCTGCTCTCACTTAAAAGTGCTTGTCCATTCACTGTGCCATTTAATGCCCGTAACGGGGAAGGAAGGGCCCTACCCATGTTCATGCTTTTAAAAGTGCTTTTGTCTCCAGGCAATGAGATAGGGATGCTTTCTCTGGGGGTGGTCCTTCCTGGAGATACCCTTCCCTCATCTCTGCTATCCGCAGAGGTGAGTTGTATCTTCCAGGAGCAGGTAACCCTGACTTCCTCATTTTTTACCTAGAATTTGTTATTCAGGAGGACTTCCAGTGAGTGATTTTGACCAAGTCACTTACTATCCTTTCAAGAGCATGTCTCCATGTTTTAATCAGGTCTTGAAAACATTAAAAAAAAAAACTGGCTACAAACAATTCCATCATGGAATGTAGCAAGAGTTGGCATGAAATGCAAACCAATCACTTTAGCTGTCTGGGATTCTCTTTGGTGAAAGACTGGGTGGGGAAGGGAGGAGATTTGCTGAAGCAAATCTTGTGTTATCTGGCATCTCCATTAGACCTGCTTTCTACATCCTTGGTCTTTGAAGACACTCCCCAGTGGCCTGGTTTTTACCAATAAAGTCTCATTGTTGGGAGGTGATGAACACTCTGTCAGTGGTGATATTTAAGGGAAGACCATGGCTTCTATGAAGGGAAGACCTGTGATGGGTGAGATTGAAATAGATACCTTGGTGTCTGGTTTCCTGGGCAAAAAAAAAAAAAGCCAGCTGTGGGGGCAGGTGGTTGTACGCTGTGTGTGTGCTGGGAGTTTGTGGGGGAGACAGGAGTCTCTGTTGGTATTTTCTGATATCTGAAGGATTTACCTGTGCCAGTGGTGGAAGATGCAGAGTTATTCATATTTGCATCCTTGCCTTTCCCCCTGGTTTTAAGGCCCTTCCGATCAGAGCCCTCTGATGCCTGCCTGAATACCCAGGGTTCACCGCAGGACCCAGCATGAAATGGTGGCAGCTTCAGTAAAATTCTGAGCTGATTTGTTCTGCGTGGCCCCACCAAAAGCAAGGCCAGGAACAGGGCTGGAATTTTGGGAGGCGGGGGGTGCAGATTTGATAGAATGGAGGAATGCTTTCCGACAGCCACTGCAACAGGTTTGGTGTGGGTGGAGTGGAGCTCCCCATCACTGGGAGTGTGTGAGCAGGAGCTTAGTAGGAGGAGAAACTAAGAGGCTGGATTGTTGGAGGGTTGACACCTAACTCAGTTCTAAATCATAGGATGAGAACCTGGTTTTCATATTCCCCTTCCCCCAATTTTATATAGCTTTCCCCGCTCCCCTACACCACTTCCCCAAATGCACAAATGCCACTTTGGGGTTATCTGTGCTACTGAGGGCTCTTCTGGGCTGGGAAAGAAAAGCCAAGAGTAGTATTTTATTAGCAGACTCGGTGACTCAGTGGCCAGTGTGGAAATCCTGCCCCACCCCCATCCTCCCATCCCTGAGTTCTGCAGCAGGTACTTGAGTCATAAAATCACAGCTCCCCCCCCAAAAAATAATCACAGCTCCCTGGCAGTGCTGGGTCAGGGGCAGCTCTCACATTACAGATGGAACACTGAGGGCCCCGCAGAGAAGAGACTAGGCCAGGATTATCAAAGCCAGGGTTAGAACCCAGATCCACCTCCCAGTCACTGGCTGCCTTAAACTAAGAGAGAAGTGTGGTGAAGCTGTGAAGGGCCGAGTGCAGGGCTCTGACCACTGCAGGTACTCATTTCCTGATTGAGTGAAGGTTTTTCTGGAACCATGATGGGGCTGGCAGATCACCCCTTCTCATGCATTTTCAAGATGTCCCAACTTGCCCTGATGAGTAGATGTACTGTGAACCCTGGAACTCGGGCCAGGGGAACAGCCAGTTGCCCTTCGTTGTATTCCAAACCTTCCAAACTCCTCCTTGTGGCTGTGGAACTGCTGTGAGCAGCCCTCACTCCTCTGCTTCCATATCCTGCTCCAGAATGGCTGGGGTCTTCCTGTTCCCCCAGGAGTCCCATCAGTTCAGTCCTACCTCAGGGCCTTTGCACTGGCTGTCTTCTTCCCAGGTCACTGCATGACTGTCTTTCAACTATTCAGTCTCCTCTCGGAGGCCTTTAATCTGGAGAACTTTCCTGTCCTGTTGTATTTTTTATAGCCCTTCTCATTAGCTAAATTCTCAGGTGTACTTTTCTGCCTAGGTGATGGTCTGCCCCAGAAGAATGTCAGCCCCTTGGGAACAGGAACTCTGTCTATCTTCCTCAGTGTTTGTCCCAGCATTGAGCACAGTGCCTGGAGTGTAGTAGGTGCTCAGTAAATATTTGTTGAAAGAATGAATCATTAATGGGACTTCAGCCCTCCCGAGCTCTGCTCCTTCCTCTTGGCAAGAAGCCCTGCTTTTTTGCTTCATTGTGAGTCCTCAGTGCTTCCTCAGGCCTCCTCTGTGCCCACCTGTGCTAAGGGCTGGGCCTGCAGCTATTCCCTGCTCTGGAGGCTCCATGGTCTCGAGGAGCTGGCTCCAGGGCTGATCGCCGGGAGCAGGGGATGCTCACCACAATCCCCCTTGTTGCTTCCAGGGCTTGGGAGCCAGAGAGTGAGGATTTCAGCCCTGGATCAAGGACCTAGCTGGGTGTCTCTCTTCTCCTCTGAAGATCTCATTCCCACTCAGTGGAAAATAGGATTAGAAACTCTCCGACTGTCAAGGATGCAAGGGTTTAAGTTAACACGGATGGAAAGTGCTTTGTAAACTAACTTGTGACTCACCTGTTAGTCCCTGTCACTCATTTTATGTGACACATGCAACAGTCGCCAACACTGTGATGTGTGGCAGACTGCTCTGGGGCATCCAGGAAGGCTTCTTACAGTGGGGATTCGGCTTCAGTTTATTGGTGAATCACCTGTGTGTGTCAGATTCTGCCACACACTTGTCAATCCCTGGTCCCTGCCTTTGAGGAAATGAGACTAGAGGGATGACAGTGCACAGTGATCCACACAGTGACGGGGGAGGAAGCATGGGGAACTGAGGAGGCCTGGGAGTGAGGGTGTGAGGGTTTGGCAGCTAAATCATCCTGGTGTCAGGGAAGGCTTCCTGGAAGAGGTGACAGTCAATCCGGATATTGAAAGATGACCCGGTGTTACTGAGGCCATCAGGAACCTTCAGGTACAGGGACCAGCATAGAGGCATGAGATTTGGGTGGGAGGGAAAGTCTGACGGCAGGACCTCTGGGCTACTAACCTGCGTTCAGGTCCCAGTGTGCTGAGAGATGAGGGAGACAGAAAATGCTGTATCCAGGCAGGGACTGGCTTACCTATGCCCTTTACAGGGGTTGTTGGTGGAGATTTGAGAGCTGGGAAAGGAGCCTGGTGCAGGCAGTTTCTTGGCCTGTACCACTTCTGGAACCTCCTGGGTGTGGAGATGCTGCTGGCAGTTTCGAGGGCTTGGGGCTGGGATTCTCAGTCTCCTCATCTGTAAAATGAGCAAATGCA